TTTTTTTCCTACACACCTCAAAATATCCAAAACACACCAAAAAAAATTCCCTTCCCTTTTTTCCTTCTTCCTCCCCCATCCCAACCCGACACCACCGCCGTATTGTCCCTCATCCTGCGCGTGGGTTGCGGCTGGGACACGAGCCTCAGCTGCGTTTAGTGCACTGTGGAGAAGAGGAAAGACTGAGCCTGGGCTGCGTCTGGTCGCGAGCCTGGGCCTGCCAGAGCGTCTGGTGCGGCTGGGCTGCAGGGGAAGGGTAGAGGGGAGGAGAAGGGCAAAGGGCGGGGAAAGGGCAGGGCAGACGGCAGTGGGCGAGGGAAGGGGAAAAAGGAGGGCAGAGGAGTGGCGGGGGAAAGGGCAGTGGGCGGGGGAAAGGAGAAAGGGGGAAAGGGGAAGGGAGGGCAGAGGGGTGGCTGGGGAAGGGCAATGCAGTAGGCAGGGAAAGGGAGGGCGGGGAAGGGCAGTGGGTGGGGAAGGGGGAAAGGGAGGCAGAGGGGTGGTGGGGAAAGGGCAGTTGGCGGGAGAAGAGGGAAAGGGTGTTGCTACTGGGAGGTAAGGAGGAGGAAGAAGAAGAAGAAGAAAGAAAAGAAAAAGAAAAGAAATAAAAAGAAAAAGAAAGAGAAAAAGAAAAAAAAAGAAAAGGAAAAAAAAAAGTTTTTTACTATACAAACAAAATTTTTACCTTACAAAAACTTCTAAAAAAATTTTTTAACAACTTCTACGGTGCACTACAGTAAAATTTTAGACAAACTCCCAAAAAACTGCAGGTTCCAAACAGACTCTTATTCATATTCATTCCTTTTCTCCTAATCCTTTCATTTCTCTTCTCAAAAACCAATGTAAACATCGAACACCTTAGCCCTCCGTTTCCTTTCCTTTCCCTCTCATTCCCTCGAAACAAGCAGTGCGTTTGAGCTTCATTTCTATCACAAATTCAAAAAAAAAAAACACACAGAAACAAAAGGTGTTTCGCATTCCAAAGCGCGGTTTCGAATTTGGACTCATATAGAAACTCAAATCACTTAACAATTATTTTCTTTCACTTAACAATTGATATCCGTCCTTAAATACTCATCCAACCTGTAGTCCGGGAAGGAAGCTCGCAACCGCCATCCACCGTTGATAACCACCTCTTGCGGCCGATTGTATCACCCAGCTTCTCCCTCTACTTAAGGTAATATATTTCCTTTCTATATTGCTAACAATTTGTGATAAATTATTCCATAGAGAGTGCTAATGTGCATATTTGGAATGATTTTTTTTGGGGTGTAATATGCCTAAAAATTCGGAATATCTGTTGCATCTTTAGATGTGGTGATGGAATTAAGTCCTGCACTTAGTCCTTGGGAGCTCTACTTGATTATTAAAGTTATACGTTTATCTTTAAGACTGGAGATTTTTAGTTGTTTTATTGTCTAGATTATTTGTTATTCGAGTTAAAATTAATTTAGCCATCCATTGATAGTTAATTATGTTGCAGCTAATAAGAAATTGGATTAAGATACTTATTAGTCCTGCTTACTGATGGATGATTCATCATAACCTTGATTAGCGATAGTTTTTTAACTGCTAGTCGTAATACCTTATGTGGAAAATAGCAGTCCTGTTTCCACACTTTCTTATACGCTGGAAAACATATTTAATAATATGGTATTTCGATCATTGGAAAATCAGTATGTGGTGAGCTAAGTATAGTCCTCTTAACAATTTCGAAGCAGCTTCAATATATAATTTTGCAAGAGCGTCTGTCACTTGAACCTACTAATTCATCCTTTCATATATTGATTTGAGGTTGATTTTGTTTCTTGGAATTTCTGAAATTTTTGGTTATAGTTAATCTGGTGACTCCTGGATTTTTTTTTTTTTGTAATTTTTTGTTCTGAGGGGTATCATACTCACCTGAGTTTTGTCTTGTTATTGCTCTGGAAGTGTTTCTGGAAATTGAACGTCAATTGTTGAAATGACTACGTTTCTTTTACCTACCAGGACATGGCCCTGATGGCAGTTGCAGTTTTGTTTGTTTTATGAGCTCAGATAGAGTTGGGGAAAATAGATATTTTTGTTGAGTTGTGCTCGATCAATATCACATGATAAAGAGTAGCTGTTTAACTTAGTTTAGTTATCCAGAGGCCTACAAAGTGCAATACACTATTGAGTGTTCTAATGGTGAACCAGAGCCAGAAATTGCTTCGGTTCGTTTAACGGATACAGTAGCATTTCCCTTTATTGGACAATTTAGAATCCAATTTCGATGGGGGATGACCTAACCATGTAGTTCTTCTGAATGTTGAACTTAAGTGCTAAGCAAAGTTGAGTTAACTAAAGCTAGTGATGACCAGGAGATTAATAGTTTGATCACATGATTAATTTACCTTAAGCATGAATGGAATTGTAAGTGGTTCCACAGGTTTGATTGGAGTTGGATGAATTTTTTGGTAAACAGACACCAAAAGTAGGGAATAAGAGCATACAGGAGAATGTTCACATGTATGATTAATTCTGTTAAGAAAAAATTTGAAAGGCTAAAAAGAGCATACGAAAAATTAAGTTCATGCTTTTCAGATATGTGGAGCACATGCTAACAATAAGCTGCATACATATTGTAGCAGAGTATATGAAGATCATCAAGTTTTGTGGACTTTTGTAATCGATAACGGCAATAATTTGCTAGTCCATTAATGTTAACTCATCCATCAGCAACTACCTATTATGGGTACTTGTGAACAATTTCATAACTTGTGCAATGCCTTTTTGATGGATTGTAGAGGCACTTTCATACTGGTGACAAGCACGGATATCATATTTTCATTTTGGAACCGAAGTTTAATTATACATGTTTGTGTCTGTACTTTTAGTTTCTCCTGCTGTTTCATGAGTTCAGGTCGTCATCGACATATTTGCAAAGGGTTATGGCAACTTTCTCCTTAATTTTGCATGATTTATCATAATTGAATAAATTATGTGATAAGTAATAACTTTACTCTTCATTTTTACGAAAACAATTCAATGATGCGAGACTGCACATTTTGGACCTTGAATACTAAACTATTTACAGTGTACTGCTTTTAAAAAATTCACAAATTCTACTTATCCATCTTATTTGTTAAAGTTCACTTCTGGTGATATCTGATTGCATTTAAGCAGGTGTAGAAGTCTGCATTTTGACCTGGCAAAGGGCATGGCGGATGAAAAGGTTCTCAGCTACAATGATGTCGTACTTAGACAAGCTGATTTGGACATTCTCAGTGGTCCACATTTCCTTAATGATCGCATCATTGAGTTCTATCTTAGTTACCTCAGTTCACGTCGTGCTGCTGAGGACATCCTATTCGTGCCTCCTTCAATTGCCTTTTGGATTAAAGAGTGCCCTGATACTGCGAGCCTTGAGGAATTCCTAAAGCCACTTAATCTTCCCAATAGGGAACTTGTACTGTTTCCTATCAATGATAATATTGACGTAAGTTTTGCTGAGGGTGGGAACCATTGGAGCCTACTTGCTTTCAGGAGAAGTGCTAAGGTTTTCATCCATCACGATAGCAGCTCGAGTTGCATGAACAGTTCCCATGCCAGTCGGCTCTATAGGGCTATTTTTCCTTATATCTCTGATGGCGTTACGTACATGGAGTGTTCTAATACTCCAAAGCAAGCTAATGGTCATGACTGTGGCTTGTATGTTATAGCCTTTGCAAGAGCAATATGCAACTGGTACGAACATACTACACCAAAGGATAAAAAGAGGTGGTGGTTCTCAGATTTGGAGCATATCACTCCATCTGCCATATCTGAGCTGCGTAGTGAGATTCTGGAACTAATCAGAAGTCTAATGGTGAAGCATTAATGTCTGCCTTTCTTGAATTGGCTATTAAAGATGTGATATTTTGCTTGTATACTAATACACAACGCGTGCGGATTTTGATGTAAACTTTTCTCCTGGATCAGATCCAGGTAATGGCCAGCGGTCATGTGTTCTAGAGGTCCAAGCTCTTTGTATTAATGCAGAAACAGCAGTAGCTTATGTGATTCAATTGTTTTAACTTGTTCGATACTTCTAGTTTGTCATGTTATGCTTGTTACGAGCCATTTTTTGGATCTGATATGCCTCATTAAATGTTCAATAATGGATTTTAATTCAGCAATATTTTCTGGCTTAGCAGACTTTATTTTGCAATTGTCGTTGATCTACTTAATTCTTCCTCTACCTCCACCGCTTCAGCAATCTAGTCGGGTTACCTATAGCAAAATTAGCTGCGACACTTTGGGTCCATGCAGTATAGAGTTTTATGTGCAAAAGAAGCTGCATGCTGCTGGTGCAAACCTGCTGCAGAGCAGCAAACGAGGCGAAGAAATTTTAGTTCTCAGGTTTTGGAAGGATCACTCCATCTGCTGTGTCTAGGCGAGTAGCGAGATTCTGGGACTAACAAAAAAGAGTCCAACGGTGAAGTGGTAAAGGTGCTACTAAGACGTACGATCGGGCTTGCACGCTGATTATAACTTTTCTGCCCTAGTTTTTACCCCCCAAAAAGAATTTTTTGTGTCTTGCTTATTGCAATTTTTACTTTCGCATACATTTTCTTCCTCTTGTTCCACTGACTTCGGATTTCAAGTCAGACGCCTATTGCAAATTTGATTTGGTGTTTGGATCTATGCACTATAGGATTCTGTTTTATGTGTAACATGAACTCGACATGCTTGGTTGGAGACTTGAGAGTACTTCTCAGGGTTGAAGACTTTTGGGCTAAAGTCCCATTTATCCCGTAATTATAACAATAAGTTGTTCGTGTTTTATCCATCCGTACCTTCTGAATAACAAATCCTTCTGAAACTTTCACGATTGGATTCTTTTGGCCTTTCTTTTGCTTCCATTCTGTATTTTGCTATGTTGACGGTACAAATTTCCCAGTCAGTCATGTGCTATCGCCAACAAGTCCCACATCGGCTCGGTAAGGAGGACGAGGAGCGTACCAGCACTATAAATACGCTAATCCAACACAAAGGAAAGCATACCTTTCTCGGCCTTTTGGCTAAGATCAAGTGTAGTATCTGTTCTTATCAGTTTAATATCTGATACGTGGGCCATCGGCCCACACGATATTAACTCAATTTTTTAAGGGGAGGGGCCATCACGGTAGCTTGCTATCGGGCCTCTCGCGCGTCGCCTTGGCGTTACACTACTGCCTTGGCCAGGCGCACCCCACCAAACCTAGTGTAAAATTGCACAATTCATAGTAGGCTATTAAGCAATTCTGTGCAGCTGAATGAATTTAGAGCTCACTGTAAATTTTCTATAGAGGAAACGTATTTCCAGCAAAATCTTCCGCTCTATTTGCATGGAAAAAAAAGAAAAATAGGGTTAGCCTTTTTGATACTTGAAAATCAATTAATTGGTAAACTTGAATCAATCTTTAAGTGCATTCTTGGCTCCTATTATTAAATCATGAAAAACCTTCTAGCCCCGCGTTTGATCTTTGCTTTGGTTCTCTGTTTTGATTGCCTTATAGCGCAATGTCAAAGACACTTTTTTATGGTCAAAGTTGCTGTAAATGTAAGAATCGCGTCGTAAGAAGTGCAAATTGCATACTTGGAAAACAAAGGGCAGAAAAATGCCAAATAGGCTAATTTTCTTTCTTTTCATATTTGGATCAATAAAGCCGACAACAAAGAGGAAAAATAGGCCTAAGTGAAAAAGGCACCAAGAAAGGAAACAATATAAGGTGAATACCTGTCTAACAAAGAGATTACAAATAAAGAATTGCCAATTTTTTAAAGAAATAAAAAAGAAACAAAAAAGAAAAGAAAGAAATTTGAGGTGAATTCATCCTTCTGACAAGAAGAGAAAGAATTGCCAAATTTAGCATCCAGCGCATTAACCTCCGGAGGATGACTACATGGACTGCTGCACCAGATACAGATTTTGTAGATGTATCCATGTGAAAGTTCAAGAATCACTCCTGTCTGTATTTGGCGTGCTCGTAAGTTGTATCACCTAAAAGAGAGTTCAATGAGGCCTTAAAGATTGAAAACAATGATGAGAAGTACAAAAAATAAGAGGAGCCTTTTACTGAAAAAAGCCATCATGACAACATCTGTGCACGGAAAGGACTGAACTCTTCCGAAAAGCCCAAACAAAACTGAAGAAGAACTTCCAGAGGAAATGGAAGGATTAACCGAATGTCAGAACACACAGTGCCCAAGGACACGTACTTACAAGCGCATCCAAAATATAAGCAGCAAAAGTAAAAGGCTTTCCATCGTGACAGAGATATTGCAGAATCACAAGTAATGCTTAACCAAATTCCAAGTTCTCGAAAATCGGTCAGTCAGTCAATCAGAGCCCAAGACAGGTACCCATCCAAAAGAGTCTTTTCATTCATCTTCTTTGAAAATTATGGAATCTTTATATCTCATCTTCAAAAGGAACCAAATGATGATATTCAAATTATCTTGGCTCTCTTAAATATTCCTCTCCCATGACATTGTCATAATATGAAGCTTGCATTTTGCTCAGCATAACCACAAGTGCAAATACTCGAACTGATAGAAAAGCTTTAGTCTATTATCACATTTACCAGATCTGATCATGCTCAAAAGCCCACAACTAGGCTAATACCCTTTCATTAGAAGTCCCTAGCAAAGCTATCCTCCTTTAAGCAGCAAAGATAATCTTACAACCCTTGCTAAATCTTTTAATTAATCAATCGACTTTTAGCCAAATTGTCCCAGATCATCACCTCTAATCCAAATTGACACTGTTGATTTGATGATATCATGTACTGACTCTTAAGTTTACATGATGACAGACATCTAAGCTTTCTTACATAGACACAACCAAAGAAGTAGATACGACGAAAATATATCTGCTTTCAGTCACATTAATGGAGCCATATTCACATGTCATTTAGCAAATGACATCAGTGCATTAATCTAATTAATGATATACTTTAATATTGAAGAATACCAGGCGGTAAGGTCACTCATGGAGTGCCAGTGTCTGCAGGATAACTACCCAGCACTCTCAAGAACGTAGCAAACTCCTGTAAGGGCATCCAATTTCCATATGAGATCTCCTCAAGAGTACATAACATTCAAGAAAATTTCACTTCAATGTTCTTATCAGACTGAAAACACAGAGCATCAAGTTTGAAGCAAGCTGCACCTCTAAATGACCAAGAGCATATTGGGCATTTTGATCAGCCATGGATGCTTCAAAATCAACATAAAAAAGGTAGGGGAAGTTTCTGCATCAGAACAAACCCGGTATATGAAGATAAGTGCTCTTGAAAGAATGGGACAGGTGCAGATTGGAAGTTGCTATTCACTCATAATCAGCTTTATTGATGCAAAATTGCACTTAAAAAAACTCAGTAGGAAACTTATTGGACATACTTAACACTGTCAACAAATGCTCGCAATGCCTGCTTTGGTAAAGGTCGGCTTTCAATCTGGGTTGAGGAGGAAACATCACTAACACCACAAATAGATAAAGTCCACAGCCATGCCCAATAGCCCAATCAAAATTGAAAGAGAACTGGAACTCACCTTAGTAAGGTTGATATTCCTCATAGCAAAAACAGCAAGGGCCTTGAAAAGCTCCCCAGGGCCTTCCTCAAGTGAGAAGACTATACTTGTCTAACAATGAAGAAATATGAACCAATCAAAGGGTGAAAGCTGACACTTTTCAGATGCAAAATTAACTTAATTAAGTTATCACATTTTTTCTTTCAATCGATAGTAGGTGTGCAATATTGCTAACCTTAAACGGTTTATCAATGCCAGGAATGATAGGCTCCCTAGCTAACATTAAGAATCGAGTGATGTTATCGGAATCATCCTGGAAGGCAAGATGCATCAATAATCAACCCATAAACATGTTAATCTGGTCTTATAAATAGTCACTCAGAGAACTTTATTTCTCTGTTATCAACCTGTATATCCCGGGCAAGAATATTCAAGCCATAGATCCTAGCAGCGGTCTCACTAGCAACTGCCCCTGCATCTTTGAGTTTGTGGAAAGCAATAAACTGGGGATTGGAGATGTAAAGAAAGGAGCAATTAAATCAACCAAACAACATCAATAAAACTTGATTACAGTGTCTAAAACTTAAGAATGCGCAAGATAAACTTTCAGTTGTGTTAATCTAAGACAATCTGAAGCCATGATCATTTGCAAAAACTTCTGCATTGTTATCAACAGAATTTCTCCGAATTAAATTCAAGCACTTTCAAGAAGAAAGTAACTGAACAGTCATCTTATTGAAGACATAGAGCATTTCACTGGTAACATGACTTTAAGCCAACATAGAAGAACAACCAATCTACTGAACAGATACCTTTGCTGCGCCAGCAGTATCATCAACAGCTTCTCGAACAAGGCCCAACTTTGTTAATGTGTTCTCACATTGTGCAAGAGCCTGAAGCATTAGCAAGGAAAATGAATATAGTACTAAAGTGTTTGAAAAATCATATTAGCAGGCGAAAAAACATACCTGTGGATGGCTCAGAACCCTCTTAAGTTCTTCAAGGTTAGCATCAGGGTTAGCCAACAAGCAATGTCTGATTGCAAGCTTGACTTCTCCAACAATATGCAACCGGTGTCGAAGTAACAGATCATAATTCCTGTGAATACTCCCTCCTAAAGAATTCTCAATAGGTAAAACTGCTCTATCAACAAGCCACCTTTCAACAGCCTGTAAAAGGACAATATCTGGCAAGATGAGTAAGATCGCATCATTAAGCTACCAAAATATGAGGTTCTGACGCAAACAGTACAGTTTTCAGCGCCATGGCAAAAGACCTACTCCACATTGTTCTAAAATACCTCGTAAAAGTCCTCAAAAAGCAAATTCCTAACAAGAAAACATTTCTTACTTTCAGAGATTTTTGAGCTCATTAGCCCTCTTCAATACCGGTCTTACCTGATTTTCATCTTATCTGGTTACTTATTCATATAATACCAAGCTCTAGATAATTATGCCAACAAATCAAGCTTTCTTCATTACAAGCTAAGAAATACAGGAAGAATGCCAAGTTGCAAGTATTAACACCATGCACTATATATACTAAAAAGAGAATATCACGACGAATCATACTGTCAAGTGAGAAAACAACATACTAACTTTCTTTAGCAAGTAAAAAGCCCAGGAACTTACTTCAAAAGCAGTGTCAAATTGTTCACATGGAACTGCTTCACAGTTCGGGTACGCCTTCTCTGCTGCTGACTCACTGTATGCACCTCGGACACCCTATAAGTAATATATTAAAACCACAAATTATATATATATATATATATATATATATATATATATATATATATAAACAAAATAAACTCTACAAACACATATCTAACATATCTACACATCCGTAGATGAAGATCCGAATTAAAGAACCTGATAAGCAACACGTAGACGAGAACCTTCCGTAGCCAAATTCGATAGACTCGCTGAAGTTAAAGGCCCTAAAGATTCACAAAATTCATAAAATAAACTACACCTCCAAAAAACAAAAAAAAAGATGAGGAAAATTAGAAAAGATTAATTATTAGTACTTGGAAGTGAAATGGAGGAGTCTCTGGAATCGTCATCAATCAGTTTCTGCAATTCAATTGCTTTTGCTTGCTTATGGACGCTATCGGGGACTTGATCGCTGCTGCTGCTGATGTTATTGCACGCTTGGCTGTGGATCCTACGCAGCCGTCTTGGGAGATTAATGGTGGAATATGAATCTTGATAGCAATACGAGGTTCTAGGGTTTAGTTTTTGGACAAACGAAGAGCTCACCGGGGATTTTCCGGTGGTGGCCGCCATTGTTGAGCTGTAAAATGAAACGGAGAAGAGCGGGAGCTGGGGGGTTGGAAAAAGTGACGTGAATTGATTTTTTGGTTGGTAACTTTTTTACTGTTTTGGGTCAAAGGGTGGTGGCTCTTTCTTCTTTTTTTTTTTTTTGGGTAATGGAAAATCGTTCAAGGCGTCCTCACATTTTGCAAAATAAACTTTTTTGTCCCTCATTTTTTAAAGTGTAATTTTATATCACTTATAAATTTATATTAGTCAAATTTGATCCTTACTTGGATTTTTGACTAGTTTTTTATCGGAATCCACCACGTGTCTTGCACGTGATCATTTTTTAGGAGCAAATTTATCAAATCAAATTTCACATAATTTAATTTTTTTCGTTCCTAATATTTTTCAAAATAATATTT